ATTAACCGGATTTACATTGACCCCTATGGGGAAATTTGCGTCGGGTTACGACCAACTCGGGATACGCCCAGAGTCACGGAACGTATCCCGAGGTACTACTGTACCTAGATGAAGTACATAAAGTACTTTCAGTCCTACATTACTATATCATTTTTATTATCATCACTGAACTCTATGTTCCAGTGGAATCATAGGATTTCCAATTGTACACTAATGTTATGCTCACATAACTAAGCTAATAATATCTCAACACTACTGGATTTCTCTGCTTGGATGCTCCTTGTAATAAAAAGTAAAACTTTTGTTTCAGAAACTTTATATAGGTTTGAATTAAGAAATGGGCAGTAAAGAGTTCCTCTCTCTGATATTTTTATTACTTTTTAATTGTTTTATAATAATTTTATTGACATTTCAGATACAAAGATAAAAAACTAATACAAACTAAGAATAGTATAAAGATAAAAAATAAAACATGCAGAGGGGAAAAAAAGGAAAAAAATTATTAAAGAAAAAAGAAAAGAAATAGATGGAGATGACTTCCCCCTTCATCAAGACAAGTACAAACAATTTCAGTAATTTATCACCTTCTCTGATACTTCAACAAAAAATCTTAATCTTTATTCTTTTTAAATAGTGTCCCAAAAGTTTATCTCTTTCCATTTTCTCTTTGTCTCTTCTCAGAAACTCCTTCATAAATTTAACACATCTCTTTTGTAAATCCAAGAAAAGAAAGTTATCCAAGTCGTCTTCTAATGTATCATTTGTATGTCTCTTTTAGTTATTAAGACATCAGCTGGTTTCATTTGTAAATCAGTGTAACTTCTTTTTCCATATCATTCTTTTAGCCTGACATTTTTAAATTCACTTTCAATTCCACATTCAAATCAGCTTCAGTCTCTATTTTGTCCAGTAAAATCTGTTCCTCTTTTGTAACCTCTTTTAAATCCGTTTTTATAGCAGACAATTTTAGGAGTAATTTCTGAGTGCATTGTTCCCAAATATCCTTGAATTCTTCCAAAATCAGATCAATTTGCTGCATTTTGTATTAATGAGTCTCTTCTCCTTTAATTATAATCTTTACTTCTTTCCGGTTCCCTCTAGTGTCTGATCTTCAAAGTCCTCTGTTATCATATTTTTTTTCCTAATCTACATTTTCCCACAGGAAGGTTTCTTACACATAATTTCAAAATCTTCATATATATTTTTTATAAAATTTTAAACAACCCACAGGAAGGATTTTTGTAATTAATTTCAAAATCTCATTTCAAGCCCCTCTGGCCCTCATTTATAACTTTCCAAAATCAACGTTCTAATCACCCTTTTGCTGTTTATTCCAAAATAAGAATTTTTTAAAATCCTTAAACTTACATAACTTCTTTCATCAAGGATAGCAGGAAACTCACCCGGTGTAATGAAACTTGCTTTTCTGAAGGTTCTTAATATCCAAAAAGCTGTTAACAAGCAATTTCCAGAAGTGATTAAGAAAGGATGTGAATCCAGTGTCCTTTTGAAAGCTCCATACTGCAGCTTGGGCAAAGATGACTTTCCCTTGGCTCCCAGAATTCTAAAACCCACTGGAGACCTCTGTCTGATGGTTTCCTTGCAGGGACCCACTGTGTGGAGTGCTTGTGGGCAATTCCAGTCCTCTCCTTGTTGTGGACAGGAATTCTGAGAAGCCAATCCATTCGCTGGCTCCTCATTCTGCCATGGTTATCTGTTCTACTCTCGCGGAGCTGTCTTCAGTCCGCCATTGCATCCCAGAAGTCCTCTGATATTTTTTATTACGATGGAATTAACAGCATTCATTCAGCAAAGCTGAAAGATGCCTACACTTTAGAGTAAGTTTCCAGCACACCAGTCAAAGGCCAAGTGCAATCCAGTAAGCCTAGAAGAAATTCTAGGTAAAAGAAAATAGGTAGATTCATCATAGCATCCATATCAATTGATCATTTTACAAACTGATAATTGAATTCAACAATAGAAAAGGAAGCAGATTCTGATCCTTCTCTGCACCCTTCCCTCACCTCCCCAAAATACCCTTGAAGACTAAGTCATGCAGATTTTCCAGTTGTTTCATACCAAGACACAAGGATTCACCATTCCAGATTGCTTCTTGATACAGTTTCTTGGGTCTCAAATAAGTTGGTTCAGTGCTTGCAAATGATGTGTTCCTTCCATTAATTCCATTGTTGAGACTTTGCTTCATAAACTGTGCTGAAACTAGAGAACTACTGGGACTAGCTTTAGTCATGTGGTGAAATGGAACACTGCCACCCTCCAGTCTACTTCTTGGACTTCCTCTTACCTTGAAAAATGAGCAGATACTGTTCCAGTTGTTGCTGGCTGTATTCAATCTCATTTTTATTACAGGCTCATTTTCATGTCCCTATAACCACTTTGCTCTTCCAGTTTATAATGCACTATTTTTCTATTAGTCCCCCAATATAAGTCTTGCCATGAACATGAACTGCAGCACTTCCTTGATGCTGATGTTTGATATTGGTGAGGACTGGGTCCTCCCAAGCTCCTATTAGCCACTTCAGGTTGCTGCAGGCACACTCTCTCCCTTCTGGTCATTAGGCACTGCCCTTCATGGTCATTTTGGTTTTAGCTGGAGAGAGATGCAATGCCTAACTGGTGCTTGAGAAATTGCTGTTCAGGCATCATGCAAGTATAGCATGGGAGTTGAAGTCCACACATCTTAAAGTTGCCAAGGTTGAGAAACACTGGTTTAAACTAAAAAAGAACCAGGTTGTAACACTCTGTATTGTGGATGCTGTTCTAAATAAGTTCATTACAGGTTTTTCTTTTACCAACAAAATTTCATGTATGGCCATATTTATTGCTATCTTTATTATTTGGTGTGCCATTTTGCCTGCTCCTAACATTTTCATTCTCCATGGGTGACTTCTACGTGATGCTGGCCGCAGCCACAAACTGCCAACATTGCCATTTCCATGCAGGTCCTTTCAATCAATCCTTTCTAATTCATCCTGTCCCCCTTTGTTGTCCAACTGAAAGATGGCATGCACAGCACAGAGAGGAAGTGAGAGAGGGAGCTCTCCCAATGTGCTTAGAGAAATGCCTTTTTCTTCAGCCCCTGCCCCTCCACCATACATATGACCGGTTGGCTGGTCTGTTTTTTAGGTATAGATTTAGTTCTCCTCCAGTGCTGGTATTAGAAATATCCCAAGTGACAGATTGCTGGCATGGAACGCTGTTGGTGATCTGTTTTTCAGGTGACTTGAAAGGTGGCTAAACCCTCTCTCAGGGGCACCTGCCACATTCAGCCCATCCCTCTCCAGAACACATTAAGGTGACCAATTGGTGTTGGGTTTCCCACCAGCAGGTAATGCTCAGTGGGAATGGAAATAAAACTGGGGAATCAACCAATGGCTTTCATTAATTTATCCTGCATGAAATCTGTAAATGCAGCATCATTGTTACTGAGCCAGGTTTGGATGTCAGCACAGCCAATTTAGGTTGGCATCTTTTTCTGCTGACTCAAGAACAGGAGGAACACAGATGAATACAGCCATGAAGAAGAGCCCTACATCTTGATTGAGAGAGATGAAAAAGCAGAGTACCAGCTAAGTTTATTTTAGAAGTTAACATGTGCTTTTATTCCAGCAACAAGGGATGACAGAAACAACAATTTGGCAGAGATGTCTGGTCCCTGGGGCATTAACTGCAAACAAAAACTAGCTATTATGTTCCCATTAAAGGCTAAGCATATTATTTGTGTGAGACTTCTGTTTTCTTTTGCAAGGATCCACATCATGCGTCTGGAAGGGGAACAAATAAGAAAAGGTGTTTGTGCATTAATATATGTGCATCTGCATAGTTTGTTCTATGTTTGTGGGAAGAGGTTGCATTTTGGAATGAGAAATTATTTTTCATTACAAATGAGCTATTAACATATTCTTTTTCCCAGTAGGTCTTGGGAATTGTGAACGGCACGTTTTGAGTTTTGGGAAGGCAATTTTTTTGTCCGACAAGCCCTTAGAAGCAAGTCAGTGCAAGTACAGACTGGGTGGGGTGCAACAGAAGATATAGTCTGTAGAGAGGTGGAAAAGCAGCTTATTTTGTGTGAAAAGAAGCTCGTTATCAAAACCCTTTTAGAGTCCTGGGTCTCATTCTTTCTCAAGAATCAAAGTTGCTGTTCAGTGCTCTGTATTACATATGTTACTATGTTTACCTGCAAGGAAACTTGAGTTTTTTCTCAAATAGTTGATCTTTAAAATGGGAAGGTCATTTTATATTTATAAGAATATTAAGAACATTAAGGCAGACCAGTTTTCCCTCTTAGATCTTCCAATGTGTATGTGCTGGGGGTATTTTTGTGTACCTCAAATTCAGGGGTCATTTTCATATAAAAATATGAAGTCTATCCTAAAACCTGAATTCTGAAAGTTAATTGATTTTATCTCCTCTGTAAATCACCCAGAGCTGCTTTTCAATGAGATGGGCAGTGACAAATTTGATCAAATTTTATATGTATACATCAAATATATAAATAAA